CTTGTTGATAATTACACTGAATGCCAATGGATCAAATATACCACTCAGGAGATGGAAATTTGCAGGCTGGATGAGAGAGGATAACCCATCAATATGCTGTCTACAAGAGACACACCTTAAAGACCAAGAGAAAAATAGACTAAAAATCAAAGGTTGGAAATAGATATATCAAGCAAATGGCAACCATGGAAGAGCAGGAGTGGAATTATTAAGTTTGGATAAAATTGACTTTAAAACAAAAACCACCTAAGAGACATGGAAGGACATTATATAATGATTAAAAGATAACTTGAACAAGAGGACATAACAATAATAAATATCTATGCACCCAATGAAAGAGGCCAAAATACAGAAAACAGACTAACAGAACTGAAATGATGAATAGATGACTCCACAGTCATAGTTGGAGATTTTAATACATCACTTTCAATCAAAGATAGAACAAATGGAAAGAAACTCAACAAAGACACAGAACAAATAAACAATATAATCCACCAACTTGACCTTATAGATATATACAGAGCACTTCACCCAACAACAGCACAATATACAGTCTTCTCCAGTGCACATGGAACATTCTCCAGGATAGACCATATGTTAGGCCACAAAGCAAGCCTCAACAAATTTAAAAACATTGAAATACTGCAAAGCATCTTAGATCACAATGCTATAAAATTGGAAGTCAACAATAGGAAGATGAATGGAAAAAGAGAAAACACATAGAATATGAATAACACCCTCCTTGAAAATTATTGGGTAATAGAAGAAATAAAAAGGAAATTTAAAAAATTCCTTGAATCAAACAAGAATGAAAACACAATATATCAAAATCTTTGGGACACAGCAAAAGCAGTGATCAGAGGCCAGTTTATACCAATGAATGCACACATCCAAGAAGAAGAAATAGCCAAAATCAACACCTTAACCCAGTATCTCCAACAATTAGAAAAAGAACAGGAAGAACAGCCTACAGTCACCAGAAGAAAAGAAATAATAAAGATTCAAGCAGAAATCAATGAAACAGAAAATCAGAAGACAATAGAAAAAATCAACAAGACTAGAAGTTGGTTCTTTGAAAAAATTAATAAAATTGACAAACTACTAGCAAACTTAACAAAGTAAAAGAGGGAGAGAATACAAATAACATAAATAAGAAATGAATTGGGTGACACCACAGCAGCACCAACAGAAATGAAAAGGATATCAGGATACTATGAAGAACTATATTCCAACAAATTCAAAAATCTAGAAGAAATGGACAGATTCTAGAAATATACTACTTATCTAAACTAACAGAGGCTGAGGTGGTATGAAGAAATTGAACAGGTCATAAAAAAATTACCAACAACAAAACACCCTGGCCCAGACAGTTTCACTGATAAATTCTACCGAACGTTGAGAGAACTGACACCAATCCTACTCAAACTATTCCAGAACACAGAAAAGGATGGAATCCTCCCCAATTCATTTTATGAAGCAAGCATAACCTTGATACCGAACCAAGCAAACACATCACTAAAAAGGAAAACTATACATCAATACGCCTCATGAATATTGATGCAAAAATCTTCAACAAAATCCTAGCCAATAGACTCCAATAACATATCACAAAAATAATACATTATGACCAAGTAGGGTTCATACCAGGTATGCAAGGATGATTCAACATTAGAAAAACAATTAACATCATACACCACATAAATAAAACAAAGGAAAAGAACCATGTGATCATATCAATCGATGCAGAAAAGGCATTGGAGAAAATCCAACACCCATTTCTGATAAAAACTCTCAGCAAAATTGGAATAGAAGAGACATTCCTCACCATAATAAAGGGTATGTATGCAAAACCATCAGCCAACATTATTCTCAATGGAGACAGACTGAAACCATTCCCCTTGTGAACAGGAACCAGAAAAAGGATGCCCTCTATTACTACTTCTATTCAAAATCATACTAGAAGTCCTAGCCAGGGCAATAAGGCAAGAAATATAAATTAAAGGGATCCAAATTGATAAGGAAGAAGTCAAAATACCTCTATTTGCTGATGATATGATCCTATGCCTAGAAAACCCAAGAGACTCAGCAAAAAAAACTTATGGAACTAATTGAGCTATTTGGCATAGTGGTGGAATACAAAATCAACATACAAAAATCAGTTGGATTCCTCTATACCAGCAAAAAGATTACTGTAAAGGAAATAAGGAAATCAATACCATTTACAATAGTTATGGAAAAAATTAAATACTTGGGAATAAATCTCACTAGGGACACAAAAGACGTGTACAAAGAAAACTACAAATCACTAGTCTAAGAAATCATAAGAGATCTACATAAATGGAAGAACATACCATGCTCATAGATGGGAAGACTGAATGTTGTGAAAATGTCAATACTACCCAAAAAAAATCTACAATGCAATCCCAATCCAGATCCCATCAGCATTCTTTACGGATATGGAAAAACCAATCACTAATTTTATATGGAAACAAAAGAGACCTCGAATAAGCAAAGCATTATTGAAGTAGAACAAAATAGGAGTTCTCATACTCCCAGATCTCAAAACCTACTACACAGCCACAGTAGTCAAAACAGCCTGGTATTGGTACAATGACAGACACATAGACCAATGGAATAGAATTGAAAACCCAGAAATAGATCCATTGACCTATGGTCAGCTGATCTTTGACAAAGGGTCAAAATCCATTAAATGGGCAAGAGGTGGTCGGTCTCTTTAACAAATGGTGCTGGCAAAATCGGATATCCATGTGCAGAAAAATGAAACAAGATTTGTACCTCATACTACACAAAAAAACTAACTCCAGATGGATCAAAGACTTAAATGTGAAACCTAAAACTATACAGTTCCTCAAGGAAAAAGTAGGGGCAAATTTAGGCCCTCATTTATGGCATAAATAGACTGTCAAACATAACCCAAAATGCACAAACAGCTGAAGATAAACTAGATAAATGGGACCTCCTAAAAATTAAATTTTTATGTGCTTCAAAAGACTTCTCCAAAAGAGTCAAAAGAGAAGCTACCACTTGAGAAAAAAATATTTATCAACGATATATCTGAGGAAGCACTCATCTCTAAAGTTTACAGAAAACTCCAACACCTCAACAATAAAAATGTTAACAATCCAATTAAAAAACGGGCAGAAGACAAAATAGACACTTCACCAAAGAGGATATTCAGGCTGCCAGCAAATACATGAAGAAATGCTCATGATCATTAGCCATCAGAGAGCTGCAAATCCAAACAACTATGAGATACCATCTCACCCCAGCACCAATGGCAAAGTTTAAGACAGAAAATAACAAATGCTGGCGAGGATGTGGAGAGATTGGTACTCTCATATACTGCTGGTGGGACTGTCAAATGGTACAACCACTGTGGAAAGTAGTATGGTGATTCCTTAAAAAGTTGGAATTAGAAATACCATTTGACCCAGTCATTTCATTACTAGGTATATATCCTAAAAAAGTGAAAGCCAGGACAAGAACATATATACACATACCCATGTTCACTGCAGCACTATTTACCATAGCAAAAAGATGGAAACAACCTAGGTGCCCATCAAAAGTAAAATGGATAACCAAACTTGGTACATACACACGATGGAATACTGTGCAACACTAAAGAATAATGTAGAATCTGCAAAACACCACATAACATGGAGGACATTATGCTACGTGAAGTAAGTCAATCACAGAAGGACATATAGTATTAGTTCATTATTGTAAAAAGTCAAGGAAAGGTTTATATATGTTGGTTACTGGGCATGGAGGGGAGGAAACACTGCAAAAAAATGGATCAACCCATGTCACTTAACTTTTATATATTTCACTGTACATAAATTATATTTCAATAATAAAAGTCATCCTCAATTTATGTCCTAGGAATTTAAAAATAAAAAAAGGAGCTGTAAGTATTTTGTTTCACATGATGATTTGATATATCCCATGACACAGATGAACTCTTGGCAGTTCTACACCCAGGTTAATGGACAGTCTCAGCTGGAATTATCTGGGTGTTCATAGAAGTGAATGAGTATTTACCCAGTATTTCTGAGCAAGTCAATTAGCTAATTAATACTTAGTGTGTAGAATAGTAACATTATATCAGGCACCCACAAAGATAAGGAAAAACTCTGTATCCAAATTTTGTACTATATATGTATTTATGCAAATGTATATATATATATACTTTTGTTAAGTGAAGAGAAAAACAGAGTTTTTTCAGTCTATGTAATTACGCTTTGTGTTCAACATAATAAGACATACTCTATGGTTCATAATTCTTTAAGAATTATTACTGAATAAAACCAAAAAAGCCAAACCCATTGGTGCTGAGTTGATTCCAATTCATTAGTGACCCTACAAGAAAAAGTAGAACTGCCCTATAGGGTTTCCAAGACTGTAAATCTTTATGGAAGCAGAATACTACATCTTTTTCCTGTGGAGCAGCTGATGGGTTTGAACCGCCAACCTTTCAGTTAACAGATGAGTGCCACTAGTGCTCTCTTACTAAATAGAGATTGGGAAATTGTATTATATTTGATTTAGTCCTGTTTTTGATGCTAATAACCACTGGTGTCAAATCACACAAATCCCATTTGTTAAAAATAGATATTTTTTTACCATTTATGACATTGAGTTTGAGACTAGGCAAACAAATACTCATCTATGAGAGACACTATACTTTTCTGTGGGAGGAAAATGGATAACATAAATCTTAAGCAGACATCCTCACTGTCTCCTGGAGGATGTATATAGGGTCACCAGGGACAATATCTGTGCATATAATCTGCTCAGCTGATGGGAAAGTGGCTGACAGGCAACATTTTTCAGGCTTACAGCATTTAGCATTGTCCTTTGTTCCCAGATTTCTTAAGCAGTATATACTGGTGAGAGATGAAGGAATAACTTTTTCTGAGAAATGACAGCTAAAATACAGTAACTCTGGGTAAGAGAAAAACTAAATGGAAGTAACCTACTTGGGTGTTACTTCAATACTAAATTGGTTTTCAAATTGCAGCTGTATGCGTTTTCCAGGAGGAGCAGACAGGATCCAAATGCAATCAGCGTGCTGAGGGTAATTGCCAGGGTAGTTGGGAGTGGTCACATACCCAGTAGAATCAGCATCATGGATGTAAATATTGCCCCCACAAGCTGCGAGGAAGCACAGATAAATCAATCTACAATCTGAGGAAGGAAGACACAGTCAACTGACATTATCATTTCTTTAAAGTCAATTTAGCTACATTTTTAATCTCAATTTCCTTTCATCTTGAATTGTTCTTATTTCCTTCTTAAGCAAGTAAGTTCTGAATTTGCTGTTGAAGGAGCCACCAGGTGTTGTTGTTGTTGTTGTTATGTGCCGTCAAGTCAAGTCGGCCCGACTCATAGCGACCCCTCCTTGGGTTTCCAAGGCAGTATCACTACAGAAGTAGGATTTCCCAACCTTCCTTCTGAGGAGTGGCTGGTGGGTTTGAACTGCCAGCCTTCTGGTTAGCACTCAAGTGCTTTAGGCACTATGCTATCACTCTTTAATTTGCCAAATAATATCTCATTGGATATTTCATCTTTCTTAAAGCAATCTACTTCCGTAGTGATACTGCCTCAGAAACCCAAGGAGGGGTCGCTATGACTTGGGTCCGACTTGATGGCACATAACAACAACAACAACAAAGCCAACGAATTAATTATAGTACATAGTACACGCAGAACATCTTTGAAGCATTAACACTTGCTTATACAAACATGCAAGTATCCTAGCAATTATAAATTCTCACTGATTGTTCAGTTCAATAGAATGATGCACAGTCTTGCTCTTTAAATATTTAAAAGACTAAGCAGATTCCTATACTTCCCTAGGCATTTGTTCATTATATTTCTGCAGGATGTAGATGGCATTTGAAGAATAGGAAATGACTGATATGAGAAAATTTACTAGTCATTTTTATGCAAGAAGATATTTCTTTTCTAAAACACTAAAATACTACATAAAAATACTTTCTAACCTGTCCAGTAAGAGCCTCAACAGATACATGATCTGCTAACCTTCGGGACATTTATTTCTGCTCTCATTCAGGCACTTACGGTCACATTCTGAATTTTGTTATTACACAGAATTCCTCCATCTCGGAAACCCTAAATTTCAAATTCCCTTGACTTCCTTCAGGTTCCTTGCCCCTTATTCTTCTTTAGACTTGCCTTGCAAAATCCCAGTACCATGGTGGTTCTCAATTCAACCCATTCATGAAAATTAATGGCACAACAAATATATGTTCTCTACCTTGACAGTGACACGTATTTCTTCCTTATTTTAATATAAACTACAACAACCATGTGAAACTCTACCATACTCCCTAAACCCTTTATTCTCCCCATTTCCTTTTGATTCTCTGCATGCTGCTTTGAGTTCTACTTCAGAAAGAAAACAAATTAGATGAGAACTTCCTTAATTTATTACCCTTTTTGGCCTATCCTTAGTAAATTCATCTACATCTCTACTCTCTTTTGTTTTTTCTCTGGACATTGTTTTCCCGTATTTCTAAATCGGATTCCTATTCTGCTGTACCTCCTCAGGGGCCATGTTCTATTTCCCTTTCTCCTCTTCCTATGTTTTTAATCTCCCCCCCCCTTTCTCTCCTTATCTTTCCCTTTTACATTCCACATGGCCATGTAATTTATACTCATTTTCTCTATTCCTCACCCCCTTTTATTCCTTCCCCTAACCCTTCATCCCTATCAAAGCACCCTTGCCTTGGTCCTCAATCACCAACTGTGATTATAAATCACAGTTTATAATCCAAAGATATTTCTAATCCTTATTTTATATCCACAGAACTTAACAGGGTTGACCACATCTTCCATCTTTATGGTTTCTTTTCTTAGCTTCCTAGACACCAAGCTCTCCTTGTTTTCCTTTTACCTCTCTCATTATTCCCCTTCTAGTCCTCGGGAGCCTCTTTCCAGGGCTTTCCTAACATTTCTGGAGACTTTCAGGAATCTATCTATGGCCTTTCATCTTTTTACCATAAATAATTTTCGATTAATGCCATCCATCTTCATGACTTAAGCAACAACAGTCTGCCAATTATTCCCATATTTATAGAGTTAGCCCAAATTCCTCTTCTGACATCCAGACTCATTTTTCCAATGATGTAATTCAGATATTTCAAATTGAACACACTCAAAACTAATCTTATCATCTGCTCACCATATAGAATTCCATATATGAATTAATGATGGCATCATCTCCCCTGATATTAACACTCCCTTATCCATCTTCCCTACTTTTGTTTTTATATTAGTGTATTTTAGTATATTATTTAGTATATTTTATATTAGTATATTTTACCATATGCCATATCATATTTTACTAACTTACTATTTTAGTTTTGATAATAAAATCAAGTTCCCTGAGAACATAGATTTTCTTTGTTTAATGCTATATCCCTGGCACCTAGTACAGTGCCTGTCACATGGCAGGTTCTCAAAATGTTTACAGAATGAATGGACCCACCTGGTCAGAAATGTGGGGCTCAGCCATGGTTCCTTCTCTCCTCTCCCACATCTAACTGACCTGCAAATTTACTCAATTCCACATTAATAACATCTCTCAATATGTTGTCTCCTTTTCATTCTAACTGCCACTGCCTCATTTCAGAACCTAATTATTATTTCCTGAATTACTCTTTTATCTGCCTCCCTACCTTAATTTTGAACCCCCCAATATTTTCAGTGTTGTAGCCAGATTAATGTTTCTAATGATCATATCACTCCTGTTTTTGATTACAACATTTAAGTGGATCCCCATGTCCTTCAGGTTAATATTCTAACTCCTTGTTATGGAATTACCACTCTCAGTATTGCCACTTCTGCCTGCTTCACTACCATTAAATCATTGACCTTATCTCATACCATTTAGACTTTATATGTTGTCACATCTTTTTGTCACTTATTGATAAATATCTATTCATCTCCTCTGGCAGATTTCTCTGATCCTTTGGGCTGTTGTTGTTGTTATGTGCAGTCAAGTCAGACCTGACTCACAGCAACCCCTCCTTGGGTTTCCAAGGCAGTATCACTATGGAAGTAGATTGCCCAACCTTCCTTCCGAGGAGTGGCTGGTGAGTTTGAACTGCTAGCCTTTTGGTTAGCAGTCAAGTGCCTTAGGCACTATGCTACCAGAGATTCTTTGGGCTAGGCTAGGTATTTCTCTTGATAAGCTCCTCTATTTAACACTTTTTCTACCATGATCTAATAGTTTCTTTGGTTGTCTATTTCCTCCACTGCATTGTGATCTCCTTGATAGAACTTGGCAGTATGCAAAGGATTGCGCTTTGTAAAGGATTGACAATTGATAAGTCAATCAATCAGGGTGAGAATGAAAAGAATCTCATATAGGGACAAAGAAATGTCAGGCAACCATACTAAAGAAAGTGTCTCTGGAGAAAGTTGGTATGAAAAAATAGGTGAGGTGAATGTCAAAAGTTATTCACAAAAAAATAGACACTAAAGGCTGAAAAATGGGAGAGGCACAAATGAAGTTATGATGGAAAGGTAGATGGGGAAGCAGAAGCCTGGCTGTAGTTAAGGAAAACGATTGAATTAGAAAGGTGTTGCTGTTCATTGCCATTGAGCTGGCTCTGACTTATGGCTGCCCAATGTACAACAGAACAAAACATAATCATATTGTTTGATGTGGTCCAATAACAGATTTTGAAATCAAAAGACCTTTGTTTAAGTTTATTATTAAGGGTAGTGAGAAGCTTTAAGAGAGATGGGGAGAAGGGAGTTATCATAACCAAAGTTGCAAGAACACTGGGTCCACAGAGAAACAGAAGAGGCATAGTGTTTGCAAACAGATCCTTAAAGTATCTGGATAACCAGTAAATGCTGACATTAAAAATATAAACTAAGATTGAGTCTATCATGAATAAAGATTAAAACAAATGGAGTTCTATGGGATGGGCCAAAGTCTACTCACTGGACACAAGATTCTGTTACTCTGATCACACTTCAGTAATTGGTGAATTTTTTCTTATTAATGACTCAGCAGCAAAGTTCAGGGTGGAGCTGAGGAGGGATGAGAAACTTATTTACAATAAATAATGGTGCTGGTATTCACAGGGCTGTATTTTTGAAAGCTCTTTCCAAATGCAAGAGTAGTGTGTCCTGGGAAGTGACAGAAGTGTATATTCCCTACAGTCATCGAGCCTTTTCAAGTTATTAGACAATTTTCTGTGTCAGATGGTTGAGACTTTTTTCCTCCTTTTCCAAAATGAAGAAATTATGCTGACATTTTAAATTCTCATATCTTACATAGTTTCATAGTGAAATATATGGTTTCATTTAAGTTAAAATGTACTTTTAACTTAAACAAAAAATATCCCCTGAAATCTTAAGACCAAGCAAAAGTTCAGCTAACTACTAAAAAAAAGTCTAGCTTGTGCATTACGTGATTTTAAGAACCATCTATATGGGATCAAATTAACAAGAGTAACTGAAAAAATCAGATAGGAACCTTAGAGGGCAGTGGATTAATGGAGTAGGAACAACTCAGGAAAGGAGGGTGAGAATGGCCACACAACTTGAAGAATGTAATCAGTGCAACTGAATTGTACATGTAGAGCTGGTTGAACTGGTATATGCTTTGCTGTGTATATTCTCAAAAATAACAAAACAAATTTTTAAAAATGTCCTCTGAGACATCTTCAGGAATCTGGCATTAAGAGCACAGAATCATCCTAAAATCAATATTAATTAGTTATTTTGCAGACAAGCAAAGATTTATTTTTCATACTGCTCTCTACTGATTTGACTCCTTTTTCTTAAAGTTATACTTATTTACTTATTTAACATTATACAAAAATAAATGTCATGAGAATTAAATCATTACAGTATAATTAAATATAATTACAATCAAATGTAATTAAGTAAAGAACATTGCAATAATATATAATTAAATGGGTAATAATAAAATCAGAGGATTATGTGTTCTTAAAAGGAAGCAAACAAATGATTACAAAACAAGGCAATTACCATTCTTACAATGTTTCTGTAATTGAATGTAGCTTACAATCATACATTTTATAATGGAAAGTCCTAAGGAATTTCAGGGATCATTAAGAACTGTTCAGTTCATAATTGTGGAGAATTTAATTTTGATCACTCACTACACATGTGGCCTTGGAAAAGTCTAAGCCTCATTCTTTTTATCTATAAAATGGGACTAACAATATCTTCCTTAAAAAGCAATCATGATGAGCTACTGAAGTATCAAGAATATAGTAGGTGCTTGGTGATAGGTAGCTATTATTCTTACAACATCCTTACTCTTGCTCAGAAAAGAAAACTTGACATACTGTTTGCTCACATCTTTTCAGACAGCCATCCTTTTCTCCGAGTGGCTGTGGGTTCAAATTGCCGACTTTTCATTTAGCAGCTGAACACTTAACCACTGTGCCCTCGGAGCTCCATTTAAATGACAAAAACCAAACAATTGCAGGAAAAGTACAGACTTTAACTCAGTGAAATACTTACCTAACCTCTTTGCTTCATATTTGATCTTAAATCCTTGGCCTCCATTACTATTATCAGTAATAAACTGAACAAACATTTGATTATCTGAGGTGAACATAGTAGATGAAGGACGAGTGCCACAAAAATGACCATTTCCTCCATGGGGTCCCAAAGGTGGAGAATAAATATCAGGTCCATTTTTCAGCTGAAAGACAAATTACTATTGCATAAATTACTTTATATTGTGAGAGATGGAAGGCAGAAGTCCTACCAATTTTTGTCCCAGGAATGAAAAAGATTATCGTTTTATTTTCTGAATGAAGTCTGCAGAGAAAGTAATTAGAAAGGGTAGCAATGAGACCTACCAGCAAATAATCCCCCTGGTTGCAAGAAAAATCTCCATTTGGAATCTGGAATGGCTGTTCAAAATGGGTAGCGATGGTCAGACCACTCTGAACCAGGACATGCCAAGAGCAATTGAGGTTGGGAGGGTAGGTTTCAGGATACATGGGGGATGTAATAACCCCTCTGTCTGCATGCAAATAGCCACCACAACCTTCAGAAGAAGAAACAAGGAGAGGTCATTTTAGTGACATATACACTAGAAATGCATGCTTAATTGTTTTTCTTGAGAATTTTCCAAGCATAGGCAATATAAATGTGGTTTGAAACTAACTAGGACATAGCATAGGAGATTGTTAGTACATCAAGCTTCTATTCACCCCCCTCATTGGATGCCTTAATCTTCTGTTAATCTTCTGTTAAGATCAGAGAGTAAGCAATAGAAACAAATTACTTACTCATGAAGCTTACTTTATAGATGGGGAAGCATGCATTAAACAAATATCTGTGAGATGGTGATAAGTTTTTTGAAGAAAACTCAATGCTTGTGCATGGGGAATAGGGTACTACATTGTTTGGAGAAGTTAGGGAAGGCCGTGCTAGTGTCAGGCAAATATCTGAGCAAAACCTAAATGAAATGAGGGTTCAAGCCATGTGACTTTGTGGGAGAAGTGTACTTGAGGCCAGAAAGCAGTCAGTGCAAAGGCTTGGAGCATTAGAAATGCATCAAGTAGAGTGGACAGACCTGACTGAGAGCTCGGAAAGGTAACAGGGCTGTTAGAAAAATTTCTTCTGCATAAGAAGGGAAGACACTGGAGTAGAATAACATAACCTGACTTAAATATTAAAGGATCATTCTGTCTGCAATGCTTAGCCCTGAAGGGGAAGAGAATAAACAAACAAACAAACAAACAGAAGCAGGATGTCCAATAAGGGAGGGATTGCCTAAATAAAAGGAGAGATGACAGATATCTGGACTAGCATGGTAGCAGGAGAAGTGTTGATGGTTAGGATAGTTGGTGTGAGAAAAAGAGAAAAATCAAGGATTACACCAAGTTTTTTTTTTTTTTTTGCTTAAGTAATTAGAAGAATATACTTTACAGTATGATTGTGAAAAGTATGGAATGAACAGCTTTGTGAGGGAAGGTAGAAAAGAGTAGAATTAAGAGATGTGTTTTTCATATAGTTATGTCTTATGTTTTAGATGTGGAGCTGTCAAATATATATATATATATATATATATATACACACACACACACACACACACACACACATATATATGTATATGTATATATATAGGAGCTCTGGTAGCACAGTGCCTAAGGCACTTGACTGCTCACCAGAAGGCTGGCGGTTCAAACCCACCAGCCACTCCTCGGAGGGAAGGTTGGGCAATCCTACTTCTATAGTGATGATACTGCCTTGGAAACCCAAGGAGGGGTCGCTATGAGATGGGGCTGACTCGACGGCAAACAACAACAACATGTATGTGTGTGTGTATATATGTATAGATATATATCTATACATACATACACACACACATACACACACACACTCATATACACTCATAGAATTATATATATAACAGAGTTCAATGGGTGATGTAAACGGTTAACACATTCAGCTGCTAACCAAGAGATTAGAGGTTTGAGTATATCCAGAGGTGCCTTGGAAGAAAGGCCCGGCAGTCTGCTTCCAAAATATCAGCCACTGGCACATGGGGTCTCCATTAGCCAAGTCAACTTGAGTGCAACTGGTGCTAGCGGTGGTTACATATAATGAAATGTCAAGTATGTATATATGTACAAATATACATAATGAGAAACATTGAGAAATTGGGAACTGAAGGAAGGAAGTAGATGGAGAAAGTACTAATTTGCCAGTTGTCAGGGACTCAACTAGTTAAACCACAGAGGAAAAATGTTTTTAAGTCTGTTAAATTTAAAGCCCATTCTTTTAAACTTCAATGCAGTCTTCCTTCCTGTAAGAGGAGAACAATTTATCAACTGCCCTCTACTTTACAAGAGAAATGTATGATAGTGGAGGAAATATTAGATTAGTTTTTAATGTCTAGATTGAGAACTTACTTTAAAATTTTTCAGTTAAACCCCTGAGCATTTTTAGATATTTCATGGGCTACTTCTTTAATGTTCATCAATTTGGAATGCAAAGTTATTATTGGACTTCACATTTGGTTTTGAAAATCCTGATCATATTCAATATTCTATTTCATATACTGAGCAGATTCTCTGACTCATAAGTTCATATTTCAAAAGCAACAAATCCTTCCTGTCAACACTCAAATGGATGGTTTTAACCAATGGATTTATGAAGATTTCTTCTAAATTATTTTGACTGATTGTTCCTTAGAAAGAAGATAACTCTAGCTTCAGTTCCTTTGATGTGTGATGGATCTGTGCTATCTTCTAGTTTCAGCCTTCAGAGAGGTGGAAACTTTATTTTTTTAATAGCTTTTACTCCTGTGCCTACCCAAAACACACCATCTTAGGAGAGAAGATGTTCCCCACCACCCCAAGACCCTTTTGCACAACTTGGCCAGAATTTTTTGGATCTGGATTCAGGACTCAGCACCTGACATAGCATAGTAATCCAGAGACTTGTCTGTCCTCTGACTGATGACTTGTGTTCTGCAATGGAAAGATGACCAGAGTACATGAGCGACCAAGAAAGAGAAAAAAAAAACTTTGAAAATATTACCCTTGTGGAAGGATGCGTTGAAGCCTGCCCCAGTTACACTGAAGTCCGAGGTGAATCGGATCAGCATGTACTCGCCAGTGGACCGGATGGGCCCAGGGATTTCTCTTCCACACAGAACTGCTAGTTCCTGGGCCAGGTTACTGTCTCCTATGACCAAAGGAAAAAAAAAACATCAGCACAAAAGTACAATGTCTTTTGTGTGATCTACTCCATACCATCATTTACAGCCCAGCCAACTGGCTTACATATTTTCACAGAGCACCATAATTCCTAGGAGACAATGAGATTCTCAGAAAGATGGAACCCCCAGGGGTTCCATCATTCTGTCTCCAGCTTGTAATGGTGCCGCTTGCTTCTTTCTTTACTCTTTTTAATAAAGACTTCTTTGACAGTTCCCACTATTTTTCTAAAAACTGGCTGCCAATTCTTCCTGGTACTAAAACTCAAAATCAGAGTACATGGGATTAGGAAGTGATCAAGGACCAGTGTTTTTGTGAGTGTTGAGGAGAGCCTTTGCCTTAAAGTACTCTGATTGCTGAAGGTCAAGTATCTAAAATAGAAAAACAAGTTGCTTCTTCAACCACAGGTCCTTCATTAACATTATGAGTCATTCACTACGAGGTGTGAAACTCTTATATGACCCTATCTTCAGCTCCAGGGTTTTTTGTTTTGTTTTTTGGTATTTTATTTTGCTTGTTTTGTTGTTAAAAGAGCATGCCCATTTCCACATGTTGATGCGCCCACATATGTAGAGAATGAGAAAAACCACTGGAGACCAGCTCAGCAGGTGTGCCTCCCTTGGAGGGAAGCAAAGGACTGCTGGGTCACTGCATGCCTCCCTTTCCTTTGGCTTATTTTGGATTAAATTTACATCAAGCCAACTGTTCCAGCCCAAACCAGAATGGAGCAAAGGGAATTAAAGCAGACTTGGATTCTTTGGCTGGGAAAGTGCAGGGGAGGTTTTTTTTTCCCTCTAAGGCAGAGAATTAATAAATATTAAATCTACAAAAAATAAAAATTGAAGGTGAGGAAATTTGACCTTTTACAAAAGGAGTAAAATGAATCCTTTTAAACATAGACCACTATTTATAACTCACCAATTATTAACTACTTTAGAAAACAAATTATTTTCTATTTCTGTGAGTATAAATGTAATGGCATAGACAAGATGCTTAAAATAACCTCTAGAAACTTTTGTATTTTTTTACAATCAAGTTTATCTAACTGGCAATTTTTTTGTGATATATATAAAATTTATTATTATAGATTGAACTGTTTCCCTAAAAAATATATGCTGTAAAATATAGCTTCTATGCCTGTGATTACAATCCCATTTGGGAATGAGTTGTCTTTACTATATTAATAGGGGATTTTTGTTTGCTTTGTTGTTAAAAGTCGAGTCCATCTCTTTTGAGATATAAAAGAGATTAAACAAGAAAGAAAATGAGCCGGTAGAAGTGGGAGAAGAGAGCTGCTAAACCACATGAAGATTGCCCTGGAGTAGAAGTTCAGAATAGATAAGGACCTTCCCTAAGAGGGAACAAAGGGAAAAACCTTCCCTTAGAACTCCAAAACCAAAAAACAAAACTCACTGCCATCGAGTCAATTTGACTCATAGCGACCCCTCCTTGAGTTTCTGAGGTGGTATCTCCGTGGAAGTAGATTGCCCAGTCTTCCTTCCAGGGAGTGGCTGGTGGGTTTGAACTGCCAACTTTCTGGTTAGCAGTCAAATGCCTTAGAGACTATACCACCAGAGCTCTTCCCTTAGAACTAGCACCCTAAATTTGGACTTCTAGCCTCCTAAACTGTGAGAAAATAAATTTCTGTTTGTTAAAGCCACCCACTTGTGGTATTTCTGTTGTAGTAGCACTAGAGAACCAAGACATTTATCTAACTCCTTTTGTAATTATTATTTATACTACATTGTTTTGTTACATATTTCACTCCATATTGTTTTTATCAATTTACTTTCTAAGTATTTAACTTATTTCCTAATTCTCTAATTTTAAAGTTTATTATATTTTGTGGGAGCTCTGGTGGCATAGTGCCTAAGGCATTTGACTGCTAACCAGAAGGCTGGTGGTTCAAACCCACCAGCCACTCCTTGGAATGAAAAACTGGGCAATCTACTTCTGTAGAGATATGGCATCAGAAACCCAAGGAGGGGTTGCTATGAGTCACATTCGCTCGATGGCAGTGAGTTTGGTTTTTGGTGTTTTTTATTTTATGTTGTAAAGTTATTTATTCTATAAGTGAGTATTTTATCTCAGTGAAACTGGATAGGGCTTATTGATTTTGATTTATCTTCTAAACTTCACCCCAGACTATCTGACTAAACAATAATAACCATATCTCAGAATAATTATTTACTTATTGATTAACTAACTGATTAATTAGTAGATTACCCAGTAACCCCAAGATGGTTGGCTCTCCCTATCTCTACATTAAACACAAGGGTACTTCTACAAGCTTCTAGAATTTCAAATATAGATTGAAGTAGATATGAATTTGATCTTGAAATTGAAGAGCAAGTCAAACTGTAAAGGGCTAAGATTAGAAGGTAACTTATTGATTATCTCTCTAATCAAAGTTTATCTCTGAGATGTGGTAACTGAGGCCCCAAAATTATTAGTAGCTAATAGTTATCGAGCATATATTGTGTGTCAGATACTACTCTGAACTCTGGAAGATTAACTCCAGATACTCCCAAATGCTACTGGTAAATTACTTGTGTTGTTATGTGCCATCAAGTCGGACCTGACTCATAGCGACCCCTCCTTGGGTTTCCGAGGCAGTATCACTACAGAAGTAGATTGCCTTATCTTCTTTCCGAGGAGTGACTGGTGGTTTGAACCGCCAGCCTTCTGGTTAGCAGTCAAGTGGTACATTACTCATCTAAGATCAAAAAAGAGTAAATTTCAGATTCCAAACCAAAAACCAAACTCACTGCCATTGAGTTGATTCTGACTCATAGGGCCCCCCTTTGGGTTTCCAGGGTGATAAATCTTTACAGAAGTAGATTGCCCAGTCTTCCTTCTGTGGAGTTGCTGGTAGGTCTGAACCACTGACCTTCTGGTTAGCAGTCAAATGCCTTAGGCACTATATCACTAGAGCTCCAATCCAGTGTCATCTAGTCGATTCCAACTTACAGCAACCCTATAGGATAGTTTAGGGCTAGATAAAAGGATTATTGATTTTCAAACCACTTTTTTCCTTTCTTTCTTTTTAAAACTTTTTTTGGCTCAATATAGTTACATGAAATTTCAGTTTGGTATGATCTGTGATAAGACAAAATTATTGGTGCCTGGCCAGGAACAAACTGATTCAAGTTTGAATCATGACAACTCTGCAAAATGAATAAGCAGATGAGAGAATGACTCAACTCTCCCAGGAAAAACCCAGGGTCCTCCCTGTCTGAGGTGATCCAGAAATGTTCACAGCCATCTGAGCACCAAGGGCCACAGGTCTGTGATGATTGGACAATTGTACAAGTGGCCTATAAGTATCATTGCTTATGGCCAATTGCTTTAGATATTGGCTTCCGAATGTCACATACCCCTGCTACCCAGAAGCAAAAATCTATTTGGACAGAAAATAATTTAAGCGGGACTTAAAATTTAATTCTAAGAGTATATTAATGCTGTGAAAATGAACAAAATACTCAGCAACTGGCAAATGTAGGCACTATTTGTTAAGTAAATAAACAAGGAAGAAATTAATCCATTGGGGGTTTATGTACATTGTTAGTGAATAAATAGGAATGTATATGAATAGGAAGGAGCTCTGGTAGCATAGTGCCTAAGGCACTTGACTGCTAACCAGAAGGCTGGAGGTTCAAACCCACCAGCCACTCCTCGGAAGGAAGGTTGGGCAATCCTACTTCTGTAGTGATACTGCCTCGGAAACCCAAGGAGGGGTTGCTATGAGTCGGGGCTGACTCCACGGCAAGTAACAACAACAACACTGAATAGGACACACAACCAATTTTAAATAATTTCATTATTTCAAATAATTGACATATACCTCAATTTGCTGAGTCCTTATTCATATTTATGTCTGAGCAAGGACATTTTTATTAAAAAAATAAACCAAAAGCAAACTCACTGCCATCTAGTTGATTTCGACTCATAGCGATCCCTCCTTGGATTTCTGAGGCAATATCTCTATGGAAGTAGATTGCCCAATCTTCCTTCCAAGGAGTGGCTGATGGGTTTGAACTGCTAGCCTTCTGGTTAGCAGTCAAATGCCTTAGGCACTTCACCACCAGAGCTCCCATTAAAAAAATAGGATATAATAAACCTTTCCTTGGAAATGTTTCTAAGTAAACTGAAATCTAACTACACCCATTCCTTACTTATTGACATGAATAGGTTCCAAAGATGAGGTCATTATGGGAAAACTGGGATTATGCAAAGATGGAAGGTGACCACATCAAATTGCAAAATAAAGGATGGCTAAATTATTATATAACTGCCAAATTACATCATTACATAACTGCCAAATTACATCATTACATAACTGCCAAATTACATCATTACATAACTGCCAAACCACTGAGAATCATGGTCCCGTCAAGTTGGCAAATAACTTTAACCATCGTCACAATGTTACTCTTGTCTTGTACCTGGTTGTTTTTTATTGCCAGGCATACATCAATAATCCATAAAATAGTCAGACAGTAGATTTTTGTACTGATTACTTTTCTTGATCTTCACAACAACCCTATGAGGTAGCACTTGCTTTCTTTTACAGACAAAACAAGCTTGGAGCCTTTTAGTGACTCGTGTAAGGTCACACAGAAAAAGAAAAGGCCTGCTCCCTGGATTATAGATTTCCCAAAAAAGTTATTGATGGAACAGAAAGTAACTTATAGAATTTACTTTTAAAAAGCTATTACTGAGTTCTCAACATTCAGAATAAGTATACAAGAACCCACATTTTATTACATGAAAAATTTTATTTTTTTTTTATCTATGAGAATGCCTTGATCTGAGGAAAGACAATAGTTCCTCTGGGCAATGTGTTGAGAATTAATCATTGTAGGAAAACTGGGAGAAGTTATGATTTATCATCTCATTTTGTTTTCTTTTGTCTTTGTGATTTCAGTCTTAGTGTCCAAACTTTTCAAAAGGGAAATAAAGTGCCACTTGCACTTGATTTTTCTCATTGAATTTAGTGGGGCCCAGGAGATGAGGGACTCAGAGGTCATCTTGTAGACAAGAGGTTGCCAAAAGCAAACATATGTTCTATTTGGCCTACAAATGCCATGAAGCATTTTTAATGAATTTTCAATATTTAATGACTGGGAAATTGATAGAATGCTCTGGATTTCTAGCATCCTTTGGAAAATAGTAAGATACATAACACTGAGCCTGAAATTCTAGCAGCTGCCTTTCTTACTCTATTCTCCAGTTTATCATTTCAATTGTTCTGTTACTGTTGCTTAAGTAGGCATTTGACTTGAACACCTATAAATTGCAATGGTTCTCCAACTTCAGAGAACATCAGAATCATCTAGAGGCTAGAATGAGGGTGAGGGGAGGCGGTGCCAAAAACTTTAAAAATTGTGTTAAGTGATATTTCAATGCAACATTTAAAGTTTTGGGAGTTAATTTAAAATGAAAAGAAAACGAAAATTTTTAAATGAAAACAAGATCTGATCCTGAATTTGTATGACCCTTTCTGCCACACCTTTCCTAATCCTGGCCCTGGTTGGAGGGCTTTTTAAATTGAGAAGAGTTGTTAATACACTCAGAATTTCCAATTTCATAGGTCAGGAGCAAAGCTGAGAATCTGCATTTCTAAAAGGTTCCCAGGTGATAGTGATGTGCTAGGCTAGGGACCACACTTCAGAAAGCATCAATGTGAAACTATGGTCTCCCTACCACCTTCCTTCCTTCCAGTCCATAAATGGTGAAGCATAGCTCCATACATGTTGCCTATTAGCATTATTCATATCCTTTCCACACTGCATACCACCACCTCAAATGTGTGTGGAGAAAAAGAAGCAGAAAAATTACCCTTTAATTTTACCCATTAGTTGTATATTGAATTATGTTCCCCAAAAATATGTGTTGAAATCCTAAATTCTATGCCTTTGTTAATAATCCCATTTGGGAATGAATAGTCTTTTTTATGTTAATGAGGCATGATTAGGGTAGGATATATCTTGAATCAATCTCTTTTGAGATATAAAAGAGATTAAATAAACCAGTGGAGCACAGATATGGGATACAATAGATGCCAAGCCACATGGAAATCTCCCAAGAACTAGGGAGCAGAAGTTAAAGAGACAAGGACCTTCTTCCAGAGCAGACAGAGACCACCTAGAGCCAGCATCCTGAATTTGGACTTCCAGCCTCCAAGACTGTGAGAAAATAAATTTGTTTGTTAAAGCCACCCATCTTCAGTATTTCTGTTATAGCAGCACTAGATAACAAAGACACCATTCTACCCAGAGATTCAGTGAACAAAGAGAGATGAATACATTATAAACATTTGCACACTTAGATCTAAGATACAAGAGTGTTTTAGCCCCACACCTTCTCCACCACCTGGAAACTCAGATTATTATGTCTTAATTGAGGCACAGATAATGTTTCCTCTGAGGAACAGAGTGTTATCGCTGACATACAATGTATATATTTTTGTTACAGGTAATTTAGTTCTTTCCTAACATGTTTCAGAAATTGAAGTTAATTTTGGTATTCAGTGCTTTCCTTGGCCATAATATCTGTGAAATTCCATTACAAATGGATGGAGGCTACAAACCTATACGATTAAGATGGAATACAACTAAATGTGTGTCAGGGTTGAGATGCAGTCCTTTCTTTTTTTGTGTGTTTCTTACCATCTCTTATTACGAGTTTATCATAGTTGCATGTCTGATGAGACTCAATGTCCATAGAAAGGATGTTGAGTTCCACAGTTGAATCAGGAGCCTGGATAAGCCATGAACAGTCTGCCTGATTATTGTAGCTTTCAGGCCAGCCTGGCGAGAAAAGAAAGACTGGCACATCTCCTGTCCTCAGATACCCACCACAAGCACCTGTAGAACGAAAAGCAACACCTCTGAAATACCTCTGTTGAAAAGAAACCACAAGTTCTGTGCTTTAAAGTGTCAGCTCTATTGTGAAATGAAACAACTGTGTGCAAGAGAAACACATTGCACTCTAGCTTTCCACCATGATTTTGCCACATACCTCATTTATCATTAAGTGTCTATTATTTGTTAAGCATAAAGTAAGTTCATGACTCCAACCCACTTATATTAATAGGGAAGAGCTACATTCATAGTTCCCATATAATTTAATCTTTATCTTTTTAGCATAGTTCCTAGCATATGTATCTAGGCAATTTTCAATAAAATTTCAATTTGGTAAACTAAAACATTTTAAAAATGACATGAGCTTTTTATCACTATAATTTTTTTAAAAAAATCAATTATGGTTTTCTTTTGTTTTTACTATCAGTTCTATTGAGATATAATTTATATACTGTAAAATCTACCCTTTTAAAGTGTACAATTCTGCGGCTTTTAGTAATTTCACAATGTTGTTTAACCATCACCACTATCTAATTCTAGAACATTTTCCTCATCCCAAAAAGTAACCCTGTATCCAATAAGCAGTCACTACCCATTCTCCCCTCCACCACCTATCCCCCACCCCCTCACCACAAATCTGTATTCCGTCTGTATGGCTATACCTATACTGGACATCGCACATGAACAGGTTCATACAATATGTGGCCTTTTGTGACTGGCTACTTTCAGTTAACATAACTTTTTCAACATTCATCCATGTTCTAGCATGTATCAGTACTTCGTTATTTTTAAAGCTAAATAATACTCCATTTTATGACATATCAAATTTAGTTTTTCCATTCATCAGTTGGTGAACATTTGGGTTGTTTCTTCTTTTTGGCTATTAAGAATAATGTTTCTATGAATATTCATATTTTTGTGTGGACATATGTTCTATTGAGTATATAATTAGGTAGGGGGAGGATTGCTAAGTCATATGATAATTCTATGTTTAACCTTTTGAGAAATGAACAGACTGTTTTCCAAAGAGAATGGGCACTTTACATTCCTACAAGCAATACATGAGAGCTCAAATTTCTCCACATCCACGCCAACACCTGTTACTGCCATCTTTTCTAATTCACCTATATAGTTGGTAAAGGAGCTCTGGTCAGATAATGAGTAAGGCATTTGGCTGCTAATCAGTAAGTTGGTGGTTCAAACCCACCAACCACTCCATAGGAGGAAGATGGGGAATCCACTTCCATAAAGATTTACAGCCATGGAAACCCAAGGAGGGGTTGCTATGAGTTAAATCTAAGTTGACAGCAGTGAGTTTGGTTTTTTTGTTTTTATGAGTCAGAACTGACTTGATGGTCATGGATTTTTTTTTTTAACTTTTAATTTTGTTTTTTTTATCCTAGTGGTTGTGAAGTGATGTCAAGAATATTTTCAGGTACTTACCGGTTTTTTTTTTTTTTGGCCATTTACATACCTTCTTTTGAGATATTGTTTATTTAAATCCTTTGCCCATTTTTAAATTGGATTATTTGTCCTTTTATTGTTCAGGTGTAAAACTTCTGTATGCATTCTGAATACAAATGCCTTTTCAGATACATTATTTGCAAACATTTTCTCCTATTTTGGGACTTGTCTTTTTACTTTCCTGATGGTGTCATTTGAAGCACAAAAGTTTTTAGTTTTGATGAAGTCCAATTTAGTTTTTCTTTCTGTTGCCTGTTATTTTTAGTTGTATATAAGAAACTACTGCATAACACATGATTATGAAGATTTACACCTATGTTTTCTGGTAAAAGTTTTATAGTTTTAGTTTTGAAGTTGAAGCTTATGATCTATTTTGCATTAATTTTTGTGTATGGTATAAGGAAAAGGTCCAACTTTATTTTGGGGGCTATCCAGTTTGGCCTAGCACCATTTGTTGAAAAGACTATTCTTTCCCCCATACAATTATCTTGGTACCTTCGTCAAAAATCGATTGATTATAAATATGAGGGTTTATTTCTAGACCTTAAATTTGTTTCTGTTGATCTGCCCATCCTTATGCCAGTACCATTTTCTCTTGATTATTGTAGCTTTGTAGTTCTGATATCAGGAAGTGTGAGTCCTTCTATTTTGTTCTTTTTCAGAAGCATGTTGGCTATTCTGGGTTCCTTGCAACTTCACACTAATTTTTGGATCAGCCAGCTCGAATTTTGAGAGAGATTGTGTTGAATTTGTAGATCAACTGGGAAATATAGCCATCTTAACAATGTTAAGTCTTCCTATTCATTAACATAATATATCTTTTCAATTATTTATTAATTTCTCACAATGATATTTTATACTTCCGTATGCACTACAGAAAAATACTCTGATGTTGTTGGCTGAAGTGGTATAAAATGTTTGTTAGGAGTAGCTGGTTTATAGTATCATTCAAGGATCCTATCTTCTTGTTTATCTTCAGTCTACTTGTTCAGCTTATTATTTATTTATTTAAAAAGACTTTCATTGTGATTTTACTGAAAGTTTACAGAGCAAATTGGTTTTCCATTCAATGGTTCATACACATTTTGTTTCCTGACACTGACTGCAATCCTACGATGTAATAGCACTCTTCCCACTTCCTTCCTGTAGTTACCATTTCCCTTTGCCCTTCTTTTCTTTCCTTCCTTCTCCTTAGGAAAATGCTGCCCTTTTGATCTTGTATGGCTTCCTTAAAAAGTTGGAAATAGAAATACCATTTGATCCAGTAATCCTACTGTTGTTGTTATTAGGTGCCACTGAGTCAGCTCCAACTCATAACAACCCTATGTACAACAGAATGAAACACTGCCCAGTCCTGTACCACCCTCACAATCCTTGCTGTGCTTGAGCCCATCATAGCAGTCACTGTGTCAATTCATCTCATTGAAGGTCTTTCCCTTTTGCACTGACCCTCTACTTTACCAACCCTGATATCCTTCCCCTAGGCTAGGACTGGTCCCTACTGACAATATAACCAAAGTACATGAGATCAAGTCTGGCCATTCTTACTTCTAAGGAACATTCTTGCTGCACATCTTCCAAGACAGTTTATTTCTTTTGGCAGTTCATCGTAGTTTTAGTATTCTTTACCAACACCATAATTCAAAGGCATTAACTCTTCTTTGGTCTTGCTTACTCATTGTCCACCTTTTATGAGGTGATTGAAAGTACCACAGCTTGAGTTAGGCGCACCTTAGTCTTCAAAGTGACATCTTTGCTCTTTAACACTTTAAAGAGGTCTTTTGCAGCAGATTTGCCTGGTGCAATATGATGTCTAATTTCTTGACTGCCGTTTCCATGAGTGTTGATTGTGGATCCAAGTAAAATGAAATCCCTGACAACTTCAGTCTTTTCTCCATTTATCATGATGTTGCTTATTGGTCCATTTGTGAGGTTTTTTGTTTTCTTTATGTTGAGGTATAATCCATACTGAAGACTGTAGTCTTTGATCTTCCTCAGTAAGTACTTCAAGTCATCTTCACTTTCAGCAGGCAATGTTGTGTCATCTGCATATAGCAGGTTGTTAATGAGTCTTCCTCCAATCCTGATTCCATGTCGTTCCTCATATAATCCAATTTCTTGGATCATTTGCTTAGCAAACAGATGGAATAGGTATGGGAAAAGTATAGAACTCTGACACACACCCTTCATGAATTTATTACTATTTTTTATTGTGATTTGGGTAAAAGTTTACAGAGCAAACTCATTTTCCATATAACAGCTCATACACATTTTGTTTCACGACACTGATTACAATGTAACAGCCCTCTCCCCACTTCCTCCCTGTGGCTACCTTTTCCCTCTGTCCTTCTTTCCCATGCATTCCTACCCTCTGAGCTACCGTCCTGTGCAAAAACTGCCCTTCTCATCTCCATGGTTGATTGTTCAAAGGAGTATACCTACCTGGTGCAAATGTTCACCTGTCTATTGTTTGGCTAGAAGACACAGTTCAACTCAAATCCCTTGTTCACAGGGTTTGTTGTGTTTTTCTATTATTAGTATCATTTGTTTAGTGACTTTGTACACTAATTCTGTGAAGTCTGTAATCAACAAGTGTGAAGTGACTGAAGTCTCTGATCAGGATAGATCTCCTTAAATGCCTGGAACAAGGAAGTTTCCTACTTTTTTGCCAAGGGGCTATATGTATGTGTGTATGTGTGTGTTCATCTTGGGTTATGCCTTCAATGCTCTATCCTTAGTCTTCATTCTGCTTTCATAGAGCCTCAAGATCAACCAGAGGTGACAGATTATAGCTTCTCAGGTTTTGTGTGTGTGTGTGTGTGTGTGTGTGTGTGTGTGTGTGTGTGGGCATGTGCAAAACCCTACACACGTGCATGGTGTTCTACAGTTCCAGAAATATGTCAGAGTTTTTCAAAGCCCCCTATGGTCATCTCATTCCCCAGTTTTTCCTTTGATGTTTTTTGGTCAGCCTCTTGTAAGCTCCAGCTGGTATAATTTCCTCATGCAGTTGTGATGTTAAACAATTGCTTCTGATTGTTTTTGAAACATATTCTGGGGATAGGGCTGTTTGTAAAGTACAAGCTCTGAGTCAAGTTAAATAAGGACAAGCTCAGAGAATGGAGGCTTTCCAGAATGCTGCCAGACAGGTTAAATAACGACAATTTCTTGGGAATGGGATGTTACTGGGAGTTCTCAACCAGTTCATCTCTCTACAGTGGCTGTTAGACTACTAGTGTTCAAAGCTATATGATAGTTGCAATACTGTTGCAACCCTAATATGGAAATGGAGGGAAAGAAGATGGAAATGGGACAGGTTAAAATGCCATAAGACTGATTATTTTTTAACAGATTCAGCCATTTTTATTGAAAAAAAAATTCAGATTGTTGCAAACCTTTAGTTAATTTCTAGAGTTCTCAAAGAGTTGATATTGAACATTTTTGCTAGTATCCTCTTTTTTTGTGAGACAAGTGGATTTTCAGAAATATTTACCCTCCCATTCCTTAAGTTTATGACTCTTTGGATCTTATTAGAGCCACAA